TATATATATATATATATATACATATGCCAATTCCCCCAAACATAAATGTTGTTTGTTCTCAAGTAACATTTTTACTATGTAGAAATATTATAACTTATGATGGTGGGTTTTGTTAAAAGATTCCTATAGTTTTTGTCCTAATAATGTGATGGTGATACTTTTAAGAAATTTTTAGTAACTCAGGTTAGAACAAAAGTATAAAAATATTTAGCAATTAAGTTTAGAAATTCTACATTTCTATTTATTTCAAAATAACTGTAAATTGTCATACTTAGGAATCTTAGAAAATAAAAAAAAAAGAATTTTAAGAGAACTTTACTAGTAAAGATACTAATACATAAAATTATAAACAAGCTCAGAACTGTAAATAAGTTTCTTCGTTCAAGTTGCTTCAAGTGAAGCCAATTTTTAATTAGGCATCTCCTCGAGCTTCTCCTCACATATTTTTTTCTTTTTTTGTTTTTTTTCTTTCAGGATTTTTTTAATCCTTACCTTTTTATGCGAGGATTACTATATCTAGATGTTCTTTAATGATTTTGAATTTCATTGTCCTCTTCCTAAAGTTAAAAACATATCTCACCTATTTTTACTTGATAATGTGTATTAGTAAAAAATTATTATTTTTTCATAAAGTCTCTAATTATTTTTTTGAAATATATATCTAAGATTTATATCATTTCAAAAATACAATTTTTCCTACTCAAAATAGTAAAAACATCATCCTATACTTTCATACCAAAATTTCTTACCTTTACAATTATCTCCTTATTACTAGAAAATTTTACTTAAGTGTACAATTACTCTTATTTAATAAAAAATATAGTTCTCCAAAGTTAACACCACATACCACAGGTTATGTTAAAATACTTCTTCTTTCAAAAATATAGTTTATTGAGGACAAATAAAGTTTAGTTTTAAAAAGTTTTTCTTCCTTCCCCAAACTTAAATTTTTAATAGATTAAAACATTTTAGTGAAAAATAAGCATGAAGAAAGAAAGAGATCAACAAAGTTATGTATCACAGGATTCTAAACATGAAAACAATACAAGCACAAGAAATAATAACAGGTGTGTACCAGGAAGTAAATCACAATTTAAAACTTATTTTTTCATCAAAACTGCCAAGTAAAGATCTACTTTCACACACAATCAGTCTGTATATGAACTAGAGCAAAAGTAAATAGTGGTGCAATAGAGTAAAGAGCTCCATACAAGAGTTCATACAAGCATCAACAGAAAACAAGTCCAATACAATGATAAAACAACCACAGATATCAAAGAACAATAAATTCATCCAGGCACACTAATAAAAATTAACTAATACTCACCATCATCATCCTCCTCCTCCTCCTCATCATCTTTCTCATCATATTCTTTGTCCCCATCCATATCCATATGACTCGGATCGTAAAATCTCGTATAACTAGAATAATCAAAGAATTCTACAGTCTGATCTTCTTTGATATAACTGACAAGAGATTTGTGAAATCCCTTCTCATAGTTACTATGCCAATGAAGATAAGAGTTAAAATGATCCTGACGATCTTCAATTCTCAGAAGTCTATTTCAAACATCAGAAATACCATCCTTATGAGATGTAAAGGCATGAGATGAAGATGGAGCATCAGAAGATCTAGTCTCAAATTCAGACTCAGCATGTTTCCCGTATATATCCACATTGGCCTTACCGATAGGCTTAAGTGGATGCAGTAACTCCTCATAAGACTCAAATCTAACTCCAGATTGACTGCATAAAATAAATATGAGAGAGAACTAGCCCAAACCTTTTGTAGTCCCTCCCTTAGAGGGATGAATAATGCTTTTGTAAATCAGAGAGCCAATATTGATGGGCTTCATCAACTGGATGCAATATTTCAGAATAGCCCTCTCCTAAGTTACTTCGCTCAAATGTTTTGAAGAAAGAAGATGAGAAAAGATAAAGTAATGTCAAGCCTTTGATGAGTCATTAAGTGCAGAAGAAGCAAAGTTTACCGTTTGGTTGTTCCTAATCTTCCATCCTCTACGTCTATCAGTCATAAATGCTATAATTTCCTAAAGTTTTCCCTTAGTAGGAACGAACTCTGTGTAAAAGCAGTCAGTTACATCAGGTAAAATAAATAATGTATTGATCCTTACAGGATTGAAATCTACTAGATTATCCCAAACAAACACCTAATCATCAGTCTCCTCGGGTAGATTGGCATAAAACTCTCAAACTATTAAAATGACGGCATCGACAGAAAAATAGCAGAATTTCTCTCAAATCCAAGCTACAATAAGATTTTCCATAGAACCACCACGAGAATGAAATGCTCGCTCATGAATCAATTTCTTAGAAACAAGAAGATCACTATAACGATCTTGTTCTTTTCTACTCACAAACTTCTTGGGATAAACAATATCCTTGCCTTTGCTTCTCTTCAATTTAGAAGTCATAATCAAATCTATAAAAGTGGCGCTATCCATTTTCAAAGGTTTACCACACACAACAGTTAAAGAAAATAAGATTTCATGATTAAAGAGATGTAATTTGAGACCAGGGAAACGAATCCAGCAGGTATAACTGACAGTTCGGTCTTAGGATCAAAATCCACCGATCATTTTAGGAATTTCATAACCTTATCTCCAATTCGTAAAAACGTCTTAGCAAAGAGCCTAGTATAGTCCTCATCATTCGCAAGTTAGATTAATAAGTGTCGACCGTCTAAAATCACAACTTTCCACCATCCCTTTAGCTTTAACATTTCAAACTCCCTACGAAGCAAATCAATCTTAGGATGACCATACATAAATTTTCCAACCAATGCTAACCGACAGGAGAAGGCCAAGATCAAAGATTCAACATCAGTGATACACATTGCGAGCTTCCCATTTTTCTTCCTTAACTTCTTAATAAATGAATAATCTCCACCCAAATTTAAGGAATTATGGAAACCTTGTGGAAAGTGTCCACCAACAAGAGAGCCGGAAAGGCCACCTCCCCCATCCAAAACCGCAACCGCAAAACTCTTACCAGAAGACATTTCGAGAAGATGAAATAAACAAAAGAGAAGCAAGCTAAGGGAAAGATCTCACCAACAGAGATGCGAAGCAACAAAATCCCCATTATCGCACGCGCAGTCTCCAGAGCGAACCCTAGAGGAGGAGACCGCCATTATA